AAAATAGTTCGGGAAGAAGAAGAACGATGGTCTATTAAAAAAATTAAATAAATACATAAAAAGATATCTCCACACCCTGACTTCGCCCACTCTCGGAGACGCGCGTGTGGTAACGCGCTGGTATCATTCCATGTGTTGACCTGGTAAGACTTGTGGGTGTGTACGTGGCGGTGGTGATTGGAGAGTGTTGCTCACGCGCATAGGAGCGAAAGTGGGATGAGGTTACCAAATGTCTGAATGGGAGAATTTCTCCAATAAATTAAAAGACAAAAGGGGGAGGACTTGTCAATAATTTAGTTGAAATAGGGAAATAATAATAATAATAATAATAATAAAATGAAAGGGTATTTTTAGATTTAAAAAAATAAACTAATTAGCAAAAGTGGAATAATTTGTTTGAATTATTGAGTGTAAGAATTATCTCAAATATTGTAATGTGAAATTAGGTAGGGAATCAAAAGGGTCTTTTTGCTTGATTGATTTTGTATTTGACAACTTTGACTTTTGGGTAATTTGGTCTCTCTATCCCTTATCTCTCTCTCTCTCTCTCTCTCTCTCTAAACATGCTTTTTGTTAGCTTTAAAAAAGTTTTGTAGGATTTGAATCAAGTTGAGTCATAGGTTTTGAATCAAATTTAAAAGTAGGGGGCACACCGACTAGTAAACAAATTGAGCTGAATAATTAAAATCAACCAAATCGAATTTATTCAGTCGTTTTAGAGACACAACAATCAATAGACTGTTACATATTATGCAATCGAAAAGTCAATCTTTCTAAATCTACGGTATATATATGTGTGTGTTTCACGTTTGAAAGATTAGTCTTGCAACACGTGGTTTCATTTTAGGGTTTTTAGTTGTCGTCCCTCCCTCATGACGAAAGTTAAGTGGAAGCAGGTGACTCAAGGTATTTCATCGCTCTTGTCTCTTAACCTGAGACTCGGTTGGAGGAATTTCTTTCTTATTTTATTTCTTGCTTAATGTAGAATCATGTACCATTCAATAAAAAAACTCATAAATTTTATTCTTGTTGTGCGAGACTTCTGTTCCTTCCATTCGAAATATTATGTGTAATTCCACTTCAACGTTCAAGGTTGGCAACAAGCATAAGTGCAAGAGGAAGAATCCTACCAGACTTGAGATAGGAACGACTAAAACTTGTTGTCCCAAAAAGAAAGCTAATGAAAGCGGCCAATGAAGCATCATCTTTTAATCTCATTATGACTTGGTCGTTCGGAATCGATTTTTTCTCTATCATAATAGTATAAAGCATAATACATATGTTAAACGAGCATCCCACACCCAAAAGGTGCCCCACATAGGCCTTTTCCAAAACCCTCACCCAATATTGAAGACCATCTAGGACGAAAGTCGTCATTCCCTTCTTCAAAGCTGCAAACACTTAAAGTCTCTTTTCATCTTTTGTAAAAGAAATAAGAAACTCCATTGGGAGACATTCATACATAAACCGCTATACCATGGTTGTTTTTGGGTGAACCGTTGTTGTGTAGTTTAGTTGGATTTGACATCTAGTACGACATGTTCGTTCAATTATTAATATCACTATGACGAGTCATTCTCTTTCAGCTGTGGTATAATTTCATCGCTATTTATTAGGCAAAAGACGGTGACAACCTCACACTCTATAGTGGGATAATCGAGTTTCGAAGCTTTTAGATATCTCAAAATCCATTTATCAGCTACTAGACGATAAATCATAGGAGATTGTATAGTCTCTCACCTCTCTCAACCCTCCTTCACGCTCTCAAAACTTAAACGCGAGTAAACAAAAAAGCGTTGGTTTGCACCAACCAATGGGGAAAAAATATATACTGGTTTTCAAATGGAAATTAACTTTGTCGGTCTCGACATCAACTCGAGGATTGATCATCGGTATTTACAAATTATGAATAAATCGCGAATAGTGGATTAGGTCTAGGACCATTCACCAACATATATAAAGTTATATATTTTCATTTAGATAGTAATTTTCTCACACATTTGTAGGTACAATTTAATGTGATATTAATTTTGGCAAGGTTTATATTAAACTCAATAAAAATCTTAAGCTTTTTATGGCTATTGAAAATGTGACATTAAAAATATTCTAACAATTAAATTTACCCATTAAGGTTTAATTTTATAGGTTAGTTGTCAATATAAACATAACAAAACGGTAATTGACATATACTAATTATTTCCGATGTTGGAAGTTCGATTCCCATTTCCTCAAATTGTTAGTACTGAAAAAAATAATATTTATATATTATTTTGGGGAGGGAGGCCTTTTTCCCTTCCAAGTTGAGGAAGGAGTGGGACTGACAGGCTGTCAGAGTCCAAAAATGGACGGCTGGGCTTGGTTTTTGGGCCATGAACGAGGGAAATAGTGGGCTGAATATCCAGCCCAATAAGATTTCGGGCCCATTAAAATTGCAGAAGTATGTCACGACCGACCCATGAATCACAAGGCTCATCGGCCCACAATTATTATTCGTCCCAAGGGCAATGTTGGAAAACTAATATATTTTGGTCTAAAATTTAAATACTATTTTACCTCGTCTTTCATTCATTTTAGTTCCTATATTTATAAATTTATTCATTTTAATATTTATATTAAAAAATAGTTATTTTGTTCGATCTACATTTAAGACCAATTTGGTAAAATTAATATAAAGTTTATGCACAATATAAACATTTTTTGTATGGCAACATTTCAATAAATTTTGTGAGAAAAATGCCGTTTTAAAATTGTGGTTGCATGAAAGTAAAAATGAATTGATCAAAATGATGACTTTTTAAAAGTACGAGACTAAAATGAACAAAAGCTTAACGTATAATGACCAAAATGAACCAAAGTCGAAAGTACATGAACCAAAATAGTATTTAAATCTATATATTTATTATTTTCTTTTTGTCTTTTTGTGACTTGATTCACTTTTAACGTATCGACTTGAACATAATTCAACTTGTTAAACTCATAACATCCTAGAAATTAGATCCCAATAGAACCAACTTTCATTATTATTTATTCGTCAGTGTCTCTTTTCTTTTTTAACAATATAATGATTTAAATGTTTGATCTTATAAGTGATCTATCTAAATTAAATATATGTCTGTTAACATTTATACTTATTATATTACAATTCATACAGCAATAAACAACAAACGAAGAATAAAATGAGAGAGAGTCATGTATGTATACGGTTTTTTTTTTATGTAAATTCTTAAAATATAGTATTATAAATGTGAGATCGGAGATTTAAACCTCTAATAGATAAATTTACTTATTAATATCTCCAATAATTACAAAGAATTCAAAAAGAGATAGGAATTATAATGAAAGGCTCCTCTTCTTAGCATCAAAATAGGATATCAATTGAAATCATTATATTTTATACTTTTTGGGCAAATCTTTGAAACTTTATTTGACTGACACAAGTTCAACTTCAAAATCCAATTTAGATTTGTGTCCAAAATACTTATAATAATTCATTTAAAAGAAAAATTAATATAATAATTAGGAGACTCAGATAGAACCTTTTTTCATTTGATTTCTTTTTAGAAAACACTTTTATTTTTTATAACTTTATTCTTTTGTTTGAAAAGTTTGTAAAAAATATAATAATGATATTCTTGAAATTACAAATAGATAACCTGTGAGAAAAAAAAAGGGGAATTACAAATAGAGAGTTTTCGAAACTTTAAATTAAACTTCCAAGATTTCTTTTAATAGAATATTTATTTACTTTTAAAACTTTCAAATATTGAGATTTCCGAGGTTCAATACAACATAAAAAAACATTTGTAGACAAAGTATGAAAGCCTTTATGCAATAAAGATAAAAATAAATATAAATATTAAAAAGTCCAACACCATTGTCGCTTATATCTAGCCACAAAATTAATAATTAAAAATTTATGGTTGGTTTGATAATTATTTTATTTTTAATTATATATTTTTGAGTAAATATTACTTTTATCAATGTATTTATCTGTTTCACTTTATTTTTAAAATCTAACCTAAATTTTGAAAACTAAAACATAGTAATTTTCAAAAATTTGTTTCTATTTTTTTTTTAAATTTTATTAAGAATTTAAAGGAGTTGTTAAGAAATGTGAAAGCATGCCCGGAAAGAAACTAGACCTTTATTGGAGCATTGTCCCTAAATGCTTCAAAAATTTCTAATAAATTACTAAATCTTGATGATTATGTCTAATTAGTCTCTATACTTTAAAAAGATTCTAATAAGTACGATCTTTTAATTTGTGGTGTAGCGAGATGACCTATTAAACACAAAATTTAAAGTTAGAAGAAAAATTTATGAATTAAAAAGACACATATTTTGGAAAATAATGTAAATAGCGACGTACCAAAATAAAAATAAATAATTAATACCATTGTGGTATCATAAAATTTTCATACGCAAATAGTAGAGAGAGTGGTTGAAAATGGGAGGTTGTGAAGGAGGGACAAGATAAGATTCAAAAGGCAGACAGACAAATATGTGGAAAATATAGTATCATTCACCATCATTGGCATGCACATCACATCCCAATTGTCCCCACAACTTTACAGAAGGGTTTTTTTTGGTGATTTTATAAAATGAAAATCATAAAAAGGGTCGATGTAAATAAGTTCCAAATGTAAGTAGATCGATATGTCAGAGAGACAACCTCATATGAGTTACAATAAGAAAAGAGATAGTTTTATCCCTACTGATCCTGGAGTGCGAAAGCATGAAGAGTGAACGAGAAATGAACGTCATTTGAGTGTCCTCGTTTCCTATTCACTGCTCGCCTTGGATCTTGACTAAACATGCCTTTGAGACAATGTGGACAAGTATCGACAGTTCGCATTATTAATCAGTTGCAATCAATGTCTTTAAAATTTATGTGATTTTTAAAGGCATGTTTATATGTTAAAGAAACCTTTTGCAGAAGGTAAGTTCACTTTAATAGAGACAGGCAATGAAAACAAATCACATTAAGAATAGAATCTCCTTTTTTTGGCAGCAATATTCCCCATAATCTACAAGACCAAAACCCATTAATTAATTTTTCATTAATAAAGCAAACTCCAAGAGAGAGGAGTATCCAATAAACAAACTAATAAAATCCACATCAACAAGTGATAACAAAAGGCCCTGTTTCTTTCGAGCTTTTAAGAAACTTGGGCCCACTTCCCCTAACCCCTA